GGTTGAAATGAAAAGAGAGCACATCTCAAACAAAACACTTTCAGTGTTCTCGAGGTTAAGGTGATTTCTGTCAGTCTGATTAAAATTGATCGTTTAAATTGGATGTCAGCCATAAGCTGGATTGAAAGGCTTCAGTTTTATGAAGGTGATGGACCTTTGGTGAAAGTTTTGATTTAAGGTATCTTAAGATGTTGCAAAGTTTGTTAATGAAAAATTGAAGGGAAAATAAGATGGTTGCACTTTTTTAGAGTATTTAAGCAAAATAATAATAATAATAATAATAAAGAACAAAGATATTTATTATATAAAAACAAGAAGCAGAAAATAATTAATACTTCACAGATACAGAATATAAGTTGAATGTTACTCTTCTTTTATTTCGTTCTTATTATTTTTGTTTTTTAAATATTTTTTGTAAAGTTTTAAAGAAGACTTAAAAGGCCAAGGATATGTCTTGTGAAAGAAAAAATGTTACTTGTTCTCTGTGTCCTAAATCACACAGGAGGGTACTTAAAGGGACCCCTCCCTCAGCTAAGTTCTGTCTGTGAGCCTCCCGTAAACAATAAACCATGTTTGAAAAACATCATGACCTCGGTTCTTGACATTTTGTGAGGAAGGTGTGCATCACTGATCATGCATACTCTGTCAATAGCAGCATGTTAAAATCAGTTGTCCCATACAAAAGCTGGCAAGATAAGAGTCTGTTCAATTTTTAAAAGAAGTTGGAAATGTTAAAATGCCATCCGGATCGATCGACTTGAATCTTTTTGTAGCATGCAAATTGGTCGCTCTGGCTGAAGAAACTTTCAAGGTGCAAGTGACTTTGCCATGATGTTTACTGCTGAAGGTGATGCTGGACTGTCTGTGAAAATACATCTTGAAACACAGACTGTTTTGACCACAGGTGACCATTCTAGGTTTGGACATGGACTTTGAGAGGTAAACGCAATGCAGTGGTCAACTGGAGTAAAATGTCTAAAAAGATGACACACATTTTAACTTGACTTTAATTCTATGAAAGATCGGGTTGTCTGAGGCCTTCCTAATGGTTTTCCGACCTTTTATGTTCTTGCTTCATTCTTTAGAGGAGGATGAATTAACAGTGTTTAACAATTTTTTTGTAATGGAGATAAATATCATCAACAATATAAACCTTGGCTAATATGTTAGGTAGTGTGTGTATCTGTCTGTTTTTTGACTGGGGTATTGCCATAATTGCTGCAGGTAGCTCATATATAAGACCACCTGTATTATTTTGTTGTTGAGACGAGACTTATCTTGATCTGTCCAATTTATTGCGATAATTGGCCTTCTCGGGACTTCATTCCTAATTATTTGTTGCTGCACCCAGTTTGAGAAAGTTTGAAAGTTAACATGCATCTTAGTTCATAAAAGGGCATTGTGAAGAATTTCGTAACCCGTCTTCACAACTCCATTTTGAACCCATCCATCCGTGCCAAATGGTCTCGAGGGGTAGGACCGCAGAATCAATGCCTGTATTCAAAGAGTCAGCTTTAAATGGTGCGATCATTGTCTCCCTATTGTCCACCACCTCTTTCATACTTGACCAATGGCTAGCAGTGGTAAAGAGTGGTGCAAAGTCATCTATCAATGCCTTATGCAACGGACCTGCACCTTTTTCTGTTCCCTGGGCCTTGTCACTGTCAGATGCTGAAAAGGATACAGAAAGAGGGGAGGCCGAGTATTGCCCAACTAAAGTAAACTGGTATTAGGAGTTGGATCACATAAGTGAAAAGGCAGAGACATTTTGTATTATTGTGATACAGTATAGATCACAGTGATGGTTAGAAGTCTTCACCAAAAGCAGTACCATTGGATATTTCAATACTGAAGAATTTTGCAGTTCCAGTAGCAGTGCTTGGTGGAAATTTACCCGTCAATGTTGTGGTAGGTGGTAGTTTTGGGTTCAGATATTCTATGAACCTGCTGAAAGATTTTTCAGTATATTTAGAGATGCTGCTGATAGGGAATGGTTGATTTCCCTACGACAGATATATTTTCTCTTTTAATATCAAATTTCTCTTTCACTTTCAGTTTTCTCTCTTATGGTTGATTTCCCTTAGACAGTTATATTTTCTTTTTAAATATCGAATTTCTCTTTCACTTTCAGACTTCTTTCTAAGATCACAGTTGTGTCTTCCAATTTTTTTGCATAGTTTGGCTGTTAGGTTATTTTCAATTTCATATTCAGAGGTGTCATGCTACAATTAGAGGTGTTGAGTCTTGCTCACTAGATCAAAGATACAGTGCGTAGATTTTCACTTTGTTGACAGTACCCAGCTCTCTGTGGGTCAGTGGCAAAAGGGTGTGTAGTGTGTGGGAGAAAAAATATACGTGGATAATTCTTTGCCTTTCTCAGTGACTTTTCCTTGGTGCATTGGCATCAACATAAACAGGGCTCTGAAGGGGTTGACGTCTGTCAAGCTGATAGGACTACAACACCAACTTTTAATGGTGCCAAAGAATATTGGGAGAAAAAAATCCCCCCATCAGTTTGCTTACCAATTGTAAAGAATTGCAGACACTGCTATTGTCACACTTAAAAAAAAGCAAAACAGTTGGAGCTGACAAAGACTGAGATGAACTATTGACACCCCACTGTGGCTCATGCCGTATCTGGAACTAAATCGCGTGGACCTAGTAATTGTCTTTGGTCTGTCTTTTCTTTCAGAAAGCCGAGGCTTCATTAATAAAGTTGTACGTCTTTGTAGGAACACTGGGGCACTTAATAAGTTGAACACTGCGTGGTCTTTGCATGAAACTTTCCGTGGTTCAGCATTTGAGAGACAGGAACAATTCAATAATGTTTTCTGTCTCAACATTTTAAGATTAGAATGATAGAGCAAACATCTTGTTTGAGGAAGTTCCGTTTGCTGTGGGCTGTTTAGCCACTGTGCCTGGCATGGTACAGCACTTATCTTAAGTGGGATCGTGGTAGCAGCAGTGTGTGGGACCCAGGACCTGTGCTGTGGATTTGACCTGCTACCAGGCGAACCAACCCACCAATTGCCAGTGTCACTCAGTAGCCATTTTTGTCAGTCATGTGCCAAATAAGTTCACCTGCTTCTGGAGCTCAGGGAGCATCTAGCTCAAAAAGAATGAAGTTATTTTTTCACAGCACCAACACATTTTTAGCTAAGCAGAAGAAGTATGCTACCCATGTGCCACCTCACTCAACAGTGAACTGGTCTTTTTATGATTTTCTGACAAGCATGCAGATTTATTATTCCCCTGACTGGTAGATGTGTATTCCTGGCAAGCTTGCCTTATCGGTTATGTGTGTTATGCCTGTGTGCAAAGGGAAGTGAAATTAGGACTCAATTGATTGTCTTTTCATGCTTTTCTGCTTATCGTGCTCTATCAATATTTAGAATAGTTCCCACAAAACAGGTGCTTTATCAAAGGACACCACCCCACCCCTCACTTCACCCCCTTTCATCTCTCAATTGAAAATATGTCATCAGTCAAAAAACAGAACAGCTTGGTTCTACCTTTGCCATAGACTTATTAAAAATCTGACAGGAGTGATAAAGGATGTGGTTGAGACATTCAAAGCAAAAATGATGAAAAATATCCAATATATATATCCAGTATCGTGAGCAATACCATATATTTATCATCCGCTGCTTTGTTGTCATTGCGAGACAGATGCTTTCCAAACCACCTTATAGAACAATGTAGTGGCCATTTCATTGCTTTTTGCTGCTTCAATCATTGTATGTATACCACGAAAATAAGTCTGTGGTTTTATATTTATAGCTGTTTGGTTGATAAGAATGAAGTAAACCGATCCCAGTCACACATTTACCTGCATAGAACTTGTATTACACTTCTTTCAAGAGGACTGCGTAGAGTTTGCATGTTGGTGCAGCTAATTAATGCAATTAAGACAAGGTGATATACTAAGGGCATACCTGCATCACCTCGAGCGTTGGAGTCTTCTGGAAACTCACCTCTTTAATCATTGTATCTTTGCCACGGGATGGAGGTTAGATAACTGTCAATTCAGGGTACGTAACCTGCAGTAAGTTTAATGTAAAAACCATGAAAGTCATATCTAGGATGTGTCATGTTGAACAAAGGGTTGTTCAAGCAGGTACTTTATATAGAAAATTTACACTCCTTCTTTAAGGTATTGGAAGGGAGTGTCTGATCTGATTGTTATGCATACTACAGTCCTCTCCCTTATATCCTTTTCCTTCTTTACCCACATCTCCGAAAATAGGTGATTATAGAAGGAAGAGCAGCAATACTGAGAGTCAAAATTAATTGTTCAACACATATCAAATTCTTATCATTGTTGAAATTTTCAAAAATGATACATTTAATAAACAATTGTCCATAATCAAAGTGTTCACAAGTAGAATGACCAGATGGCTAGATTTGATTCAGAATCTTAATTACTTTAACCTTAGGAGGTTTGGGTCAGTGCTGCTCATTGACCATTTGATTAGGGCAGGTTTGACCCCTTCCTATTCTTCTTTATGGGATTGTTTTATTGAGAAGTACCTCTACACCACCCCTGTTTCACATCAAGTAAGTGTGGCATCAGGGGTAAAAGGTGGGGCAAGTATTTTGATATTATTAACCTAGTAAATTGGAATGCTTTGATTGAGACTTGTTTTCCTGATTGTGGCAGAGGGTTGGATGTGTGCATGTGATTGTTGTATTCTAGTGAGGCCAATGGCTTTGTGTGTGAACAATTTATGTCAAATTTGTAAAAAAATGAAAAGGTTCTTTGTGGTATAATTTTGTGTTTTGTCTTATAGATGTAGTAGGTGACATTTTTGTAAGTAATTTTGTTAGTTTTTTTTTTTTTTTTTTTTGCTCATAGAATATTATTTGTTATGATTACTTTGTAGATGTTACTAAGAAAGGTAAGAGCTGAAAAGTGAATCTTGTTATCAGCCAAAAACAGAAAAATATTTCAAGCAAATTGTTTGATGCATATTTGTTTAACCGTCCTTGTTATTGTACAGGTCATCAACAGAGCTTCAAACATTGAGTCCAGCAGGCCAGATAGATACATGTAACAATACTGATTCTCCCAGTCAACATAGTCACAATACTCTACAGACCAATGGGACAACTGATGGTAAGTTTACATACTCCAAACCCTGTCTAAAAAACTATTGACTACATTTATCGACACAATTTTTGGTCACTTTTCTGGAGGAAAATGTGGAAGAGCAGTTTCACAATTCTAAATGATTTTCAATTCCAGAACAGTGCAAGTTTCTGAAGACAGATAATCTGGAATAACTCAGTTATGACTCATGACAAAAAATTCATTTTCTTAAGGGTGTTTCCCAAACCATATTCAGATTTGCTTGGTGAATTTCAGGGCCAATGGGCCATACCACGGAAGGGGGAGGGGTCATGACCACAGTGTGCATTGTTACCTTTACCAATGAGGTTATGGTTTTACCTTTGTTGGTTTGTTAGTCAACAACCTAACTTAAGATTTCATTAAAATTCCAGGATAGGTCAGAAATGGGATAACTTTGAATCACTTAGATTTTGGTGGTGAAACATTGATTAATCATGCATTCATTAATTGATTGATAATATTGAGAATTGAGCTTCCTTGGAAGAGGTCTGTGCCCTCTTGAGTGTTTCTGCAGTATATTAAAGTGTTTCCCCCGGCAGTTAAAGAAAGTGGCCCCATTAACAGTTTAGTTTATGTTAGTAAAAATGATAAGGAAACTTAATTACAGAATGTGCCTTAAATATTTTTAAGATAATATTCTTGCATAACGATTACTGATCAAGTTGGACGAAGAAATGCTCATCCCTGGATATGTAGGTGTGATGATTTTTTTTTATCATTAAAAGCAGTCTTCCATTAGGTTTTATGGTAGTTTACATAAAAAGCACTCAAAAGATGTCTGATGAATTAATCAATCAGTAATTAAATCTTTTTTGCAGTGGTAACTCATTTGTGTGGCTGTTCTGTTTCAGACCACCCTACAGTTTTAACATGAAAAAGGTCCATAAAAAATTATCAGATAACTACCTTTAAAAATGTGAACAATGGTTGATGAAACTTCATCAAATGATCAGAACTGCATGAAATGGCAGATAAGCCAATAAGAGAAAGAGGTGGAAAAAGCTGCAATTTACAGTTATCCTTACATTATCAGCAATTAATTCTTCCTTTGTTGGACCCCAATCCAGTAGACAAGTTGGTGTGTCCTGTCACAATTTATCACAGTACTGTATCTTTGGTTGAACACTGGCAGAAAATATTACCCATACCAGCACGCGAGCCAAGCTGTTAATAAAAGACTGCTGATCAACCAGCAGTCAAAAGAGGCATGTAAAGTGAAAGAAGTGTGGCAAATAAATTAGTCAAATTGAGATCTTATTGAAAAAGAACTGAAGAAGGAAGAAGGTGGATACAATTGATATGAAGATCCTTGAACAGATTGTCTTTCCTGGAACTCTGATCTTTTTTGTTTTGTCACGAGAGGAGTGTGAGATTTATAGAGCTTTCTGAAACCTATTATAAGTGAGTATTTGTTCCAGGCATTGTATTTGTGAAGAGAGGGGTAAAACTGTGAAATTACATTTTGTACTCATGTAGCCATTGCTCAAGCAACTATATTTGTTCAGAAAAGAGTGTGATTGAATCCAAAAACATTCTCTTCGGGTGCAGTTCTGAAAATTCTATTTGCTTACTGCATTCCCAATCTAAATCTACAAACATTGTTGATACGTCACCACTAGTTCTTGGCCGAGACTCTCCCTCGGGCATACAAAAATCATTTTTACTACCCAGTTGTAGAGGGGAAGTGCAAAGAGTGTCAACACCATTGGTTTGAATTATTGAACTGCATTTGAATGACTGTCACAGAAAAAAGGACCCCGAGTAAAGTGGGGTGTGTGAACACACTGGTGTACTGGTTAAGCCAAGAGGTGTGAAAGCATGACCTCTGTGACACTTCAGCCATGGTTGATTGACATTGCACGTGGAAAGATGGAAGACAACTAGAGTGGAAGTGGTTCCAAAGTACAGTGATTTTTTTAAATAGGAAATTATAAACCAGCATGAAAGTATGATGCTCTGAACTAATGGAGTACTACAGCAGGTCTCAGTTACAACATCTATAGTTCTGTGATGGTGTCAGTATCAGAAGCTGCCCACTCTTGTCTCACTTTTGCTGATCAAATAATTGCCAGTAAATATTTATTTCTAGTAATGTATAATGAGTTGCACATTAGCTGTGGATGCTTTCTGATATTACACTTGATATATGAGTTGCTTTTGATAGTATTATGTATAATATCTGTTAGCCTGTGATAACCATAATGGTGAGACATCTTATTGGACACTTGACCCCCGTGGTCACTGACACTGAAATAGTTCATTACAGCCAGTCACTGCAGGATACGTATTTGACCCTGTGGGTAAGTTTAGTTAGTATTAGTAAAATTAAAAGTTATCAGGAAAGCCAAAGGCCTATATTTGTAGCTACGTCAAACACAGCGTGGTAGATGTTTCCTGACCAGCATAAAAAATGAGTAAGGTAGGATTGTGAAGTGCTTGAAAAATCAGCCCAGCGATCAGTTCTTCACATTCTTCCTAAAAAAATCTCCATTGGTAAATTTCCAACCACAGAACATGGTGCTATTATTGTTGTTTGAAGATTTTTAATGGCTGGGGTCATTTCGGGTTGACTATCTTTCAATGTTGTGCATTCTGATAATACTCTACAATGCTTGTCAAATCTTTTCAATCCAACATGATTTAGAGCAGAGAAGGGGGACTCATGCAGTGATTTCATGTTAGACTTCCTTTTAAATTTCTGTAATTTTGCGACTGGAATAAAAGCTTATGAAAAAAGAAATTTGCGGAAGACCTCCATGCTATTATTTTTTAAGAAGTTAGAAAGCATGAGAAAATCCTTTTAATAGACTGCCTGGATTAGGGAATGGGGCCTGTCAGGGTCATAGACAATGGAGATGGGTTTGGAACCACCCTATGTCAAACAACAGAACAGCATTGGGGGGTTCAAGCAGTAGTTGTGCTATTCACAAAAAAACTGAAGAAAGGTTTGGAGTATAATAATGATGTCTGTAATGACGACGCAAATTTAGATTTTGAGAGTAATGTAGTGTTCACAGATTTGAGCCCCATTTTGTCTGCATGATGCCAGATTGTAATGTCCAGGTCAGACAGTTCTTTAAAAAAAGAACAGGTTTTAAGAAAAACACAAGTTTGTGGCTGTGAAGTATGCTGACTCTAGCAGGTATATATGTATTTATTTATATATGGTATGGATAAAACTTCTACATATATTTGTTTTGTATATGTTAAGTTGTTTTTGTAGTAAGTTCTCATTCTCATTTCAGAATTTTGTCAAATGCTTGATGATGAACAGTCAACCAAAATCTCTTTTGTAGCATTATAAATAGTACTTACTTTGTATTTATTCTGCAGTAGTGTATTTATTGCTTTCTTGATTTATTTGTGGTAGTTAATGTGTTTAATTAGGCCAGGAATAGCCCTTATGATGTCTGTGACATGGCAGACTATGCCTTAAATTTATTTTGTTTTCGTCACCAAGAAGGGGTTATGTTTCAGTTTTCCCCTTTAAAAGAGACACTCATGTCAGAAAATATGGTAATTCATCATCTTTAATGTGAGAACTTTTTCTGTCGGTGTCAATATTGCTCCATCAAACCACCACAAAAAGTCCGGTCCCTATCAGTCATGATCTGCAGAGTGGAACCACCAGGAGTTTTTGCCTGAAAAGTCTGTGGAGCCACCTGCACCTTTGCTTGCCAAGTCTGCCACACTTAACTTCCACACACTGGGAAGTAGGTGCTGTAACCAGCCCTTTAAATGGCCACTTAGATCACCAAAGGCAAACTATTCCCAAAATACTACCTGTTGGCTCGATTATGTCACCTGGCAATTTCATGATTACGCCATGAAGGTGGGCAACAAATTGACAAACTATGTAGCATTCTAGCACTTCAGCTGCATAATGAGCAAGTTTTGTCCTCCTCACAAGATCAAAGGAGGGGACTGTCAGGGGTCCTACAATGAAAACCATTTGGGCTTGGTCCAAGGCTTTTGTTCCCTGAAGCTTTCTGGTCTATATTCATCTAATGACATTGCTGCTTACCCTTTTGATTAAATGCCCCTGTGTTTAAAGAGTCAACAATACAGATTGTCATATTTGGACCTAGAGGATCATTGTGTGTTGAACGGCACTGTCTATTGCGGCATGTAAATTGTGGTGATTACCTCATTATCTCTGGCATTGACTTCGGCAAACGGGAGCTTTAATCAAGTCAATCACCGACCCATGACCGTCACCTCCAGTGATGCACCATTATGATTGTCGGCATTTGTTCTGACATCTGTAAAAATGAAATATGAAAGATGCCTCCTCCTGTTCTGTAGTGTGCTCCTTTAATAATGGGGGACACTCACCTGTGACCATAGAAACATAGCCGGCCTTTGTTACATCTGGGACAGATTGCAGATGAGGGATTTGGGGGTGCTTAAAGCTGCTTAACATTTAAAGAAGTCAACATTTATGTATCATTGGAAATCAATAATGGCTGCCCCTATATCTCAGACACCTGAGTTGAGATTTTTTTTTCTTCTATTAATATGTATGTTGGGGAGGGGTTAGACACGGAATTATATCTGACTATATATTTCACTATTATTCATTGTGAAAATTTCTTTGATTTGATTTATAATCATATACTTACTGCAATTTTAACTAAACAAATATATGGGACAAAATTGGACTATCAATTACATCTAAAAAGATGAAAATGTGTGAAATGTCAATTTATTATTTTTTTTAAGTTGAAACATTAGGAACAACTGAATAGTATTGTTGAATAAAACCATGATTCAATGAAATGTGTGCAGTAAACTGTGAGCAGGTAGATGTGTTTTACACTTCGTGATATACTCAGTGAAGATTACAGATATAGATTTGTATAGATTTTATGTCATGTTTAACCTAAAGTCTGCCTATTTGATATACCATGAATGTTTCAAGTGTGTTTAAAGTAGGCAGAATGTCGGTGCAAATGGATTTGCACATGTGTAACTAACTATAGATAAATAAAGTGGCGTGACTTTGTATGAACATGCATAGAATCTTGATTCTGAGCATTGTAACTGTTTTTTATGGTCATTGCATTAATTTTTTTCTTATTCAAATATTTTGATTTTCTTAGGATTTATCATTTCAGTTACTTAATTACAAAATTGTACTTGCTGACACGAAACCAACTAAGTTTTCAGAAATCATAAATAGCTGTTTTTAAGTATTGTTATGAAAAACATCCTTTGGAGAAAGCTTTTTATTCAATTTAGTTGAACTGATAACGAGTAATTGTTGTTTATGCCAGGTGTCCTGGGTCTTCCCGTGTCCAGTGATGTCTCCACATACAACAGCACAGACACATGGGTAATATCAGGCGTGGATACAGCCAATGATACAGGTACTGAAACTAGGTTCATAATCATGTAGAAATGTTAGATGGACTGAAAATTAAGTAGTAACAGATTACGTAAAAACGGTGGGGTTTCTTTGTCATCTGGTTTCCTCCTCCTGTAAGTTAAGCTCGCTCTCGCTCTCTCTCTCTCTCTCTCTCTCTCTCTCTCTCTCTCTCTCGGGAAATGGGTAAAATATTTGTTTTACAGGTTAACAAGTTTTGAAGCAATCATGGTTTGTAATGTTAAATATTAAACAGTGAACAAAATCAATTGTAAAACCATTGTGTTGGAACTGATTAGTTGATTAAAATTTGAAGAGCAGAAAGACAATAAAAAAAGACAAGCGCATATTTTTTTAAAACTAAAACATTTTCAAACAATTGAGAAAATTTAGGTTCTTACATTGAACATAATTTTAATATCTTACACCTGAAATGCCTAGCATAAGCCTTATATGTCATTAGTGGCAGAGAAGTTTTAGTACCATCATCGGTTTTGAAGAAAAAAAAAATAGAGTAAGAATTTTACGAGACTAATATGAATGGGAGATATTATAACTATTTTTTATGAGCATCATATTGTATTGAATCCCTCCAGTTAGTGGATCATGCAAATGCTGGTTTTTGATATCATGAGTATTGTCAGCTTCACTCTCATATTGTCACGTGGAAAACCAAACAATCCACTTTAACGAGAGGCAACATCAAAGCTGCATTAGAGCACATCCTCAAGAATGTTCTTTATATACACGTCCACCCACAGTATCACAATTGAATGATATGTTACGGGATGCTAGTCACTTTTCATTTGTGTTTTCTAAAGTACTTAAGTTCACTTGGGTGAGAGATGGGCAGATGGCTCTGGTAATACATCTAATGTTATATATATTTTCATAAATGGCAATTATTTATGATGTTTATTTTCTGGATTTGACCATGATGTTTGCCTAATAATGATAATGCTTTATTGTGGTTATTAATGGTTTTGGTCGATATTTCAGTCAAAGCTGATCAGACAAGTGAATCTACAAATTCTGAGACAGCCTACACAACTGCAGATAGTATTGATAGTTTAACCTCAGGTAAGCTGCTGGATTATTTCTTATTTTACTACCTTGTGATATTGTGCTTATAGGCACACATTTAAACTAACTCAAATCCTACATATATTCAAGGGAGAAATTATATCTTTCATTATATATGTTTTAATGGTTTATAATGAAACTGATATTCTTGATGAATGCAGAGCAGCTATCAACTTGCTTTAATTAAATATTATATGTTATCTCGATAACTTATTTGTACATAATATTATGTAAGCTTATTCATTGGGACTTCCATTATTTAATATGTGAAGTTAAATATTAAAAGACACAAAAAGCTTTTACCTCCTACAACATTCTGTATGGTTGGGAAGAGTGACTAAATTACTATTAATCTCAGTGGAGACTGATTGGAGCCAGCCAAGCATACAGCAGTAAAACATCTGTTAGTATTGTCCTCATTTAATGCTGGGATCTTCTTAGGTTAATTTCGTAATTTCTACTGTGTCATATGCTGCACCCAACAAAGGCTCCTTTTCTGGTAATTAACAGAGCATTTAATCATCAGCTGCATAAATTTAAAATTATGAAAGCTCTGTGTTGATGTTTTACCAAATGGAGATATTTTTTACTGTTTAAACTGTGTTCTGGTTAATTGTTTGGTGCTTTTCCTTTAATTTGAATCAATGATCATATTTTTTAAAATAGTATGTTTGCGTTTTAACTACGTAAGATGCAGTGCTTTTAAAAATATTTTTTCATTTAATTGTTAGGATTACTTAATTAGGATTAGCAATTTTTGATGAGGATGTTGTTTTAATTAGCCAGATAATTTATATTTCATCATACCAATTATAATATGAAAAAAAAAACTGATAAGATATTTAAAATCAGTAACTACCATTACTAGCACCCTATTTAAGCATTTAATAGACATCCAATGCAATCTTAAGTCTAGTTGCACTATATGTTTTTCACTTAAAAGAATAAGCATGAATTACCCAAGAATAAATATGAATTTTACCCTTAAATTTATTATCAACACTTTAGGAGTTTGATTGCGATTCTATTCCTGTCTTTGTTTGCTACCATATGCTAGTTACCCTGATCTTTGTTATTTCACAAAATTGTGCTCATTTTCATTTTTATTTTTAGGTGATCCTAATAAGTCCAATAATTTAGAAAATTTTACAGGAGACCTTTTTAGGTAAGATAAATGAATGTATTATTGGTAAGAGAATGGCAGTTGGAAATGGCAACATGAATGTTAAATAATACAGTAAGACTTAAATGTGATCGTAATTTTCTAGGTAAGTAATTTTTCGTAGCAAAAGAGTATGTGAAAGCCCAAGGTGAATTGATTTGTAATTTTCCAATTATTTTACCTGCAGCAGACAAAACAGACATGTAACAAAAGAAATAATAACATGCAGCTGCAGCTACAAATAATGGATTATCCCAATAAAAATGTTCTGTTTAAATAATTGTCTGTATAAAGCACATCTGACTAATCTGTGCTTATGTATTTAATGGTCATTATATTTATGATAGATTTTTGTATTGATCCAGAAATGTAAATATCATTATTCTTTTTTTCAAAACAAAAATGTAGAACCACAGAATATCAAGGAATCCTTCCAGTAGTAACTGCAGTGACCAGTGGGTCCAACACAAGTGACGCCAATATGCAGGCCTATCCTAGTATGGGCACACAAGGCAGCTTTGCCGTCCAGAATGCCGCAGCTTTTTATAACCCTCAGGCAGGCCAAGGTGCTTATGGGATGCTGCCACAGGCATACCCAATGTCTGCAGATGGTGAGTTAACAAAAGCAATTTTCATTGGTTCATTTCTTGTGTACATAGATGAAATCATTTTTGATTGGATACTTTATTGAGTTAATGGATGAAGGTGATTTGATTGGTTTGAATAATTGGTTCATGCATGATTTAATTGGGTACAAAATGTTACGTCATTTTGAACATTATAATTTTTAGCAAAGCAGGTAAATATTGAAAACAAAATAAATATTTGTTATATTCCTCTCAAGAATCATTTAGGAGTAGCTGTATGGGTTTGAGTAATATTTTATGAGTATTGGAATGTACAACAAGATTTTGAATTTTTTACTGCTTGCAGGATATTCTGGTAAATACACCCTGCATGATGATTTTAATTGTCCAGCATATTGTTGAAATAGTTGATAGGAAGAATATTTATTGGATAGTTATTTTAAAATACAAAAAGCCATACTTGTATCTGCTGGACAATAGGTATTATTATACCTATCAGAGTTGTTTTGATTTTAGTTCTGCTTTATTATCAAGCATGGCTTCTTATGTGTGTTCCCGTTTCTTTTAAAAAATTTGCCTCATCTCTGTAGATTCAAGACAACTATGTTATAGAAACACAAAATTGAATGTAACCTTTGTAAAGTCTTCTGACTGTTAATTTTTACAACCAAAAACCCAGTGGGCCATTCAAAAATTATGTATTGCTTTTGTTCTTTATCTTTATTGCATGCATGTGAGACACACTGATAAATTTCTGTGATGCATGAAACTACCTAAATCATATGTATATACCAATATATGACAGGAAACTGAAAACAATTCCCCTTATCTCAGTTAGTGAGACAACTGGTTAACAACTTCGGTGGGTTGGTAGAGCAGGAGGGGGGAGAGACTGCACACAACTTCAAAATTTGAAGTTCCAAACAGCCCATGTTTGGATATATAACTGTTGCTTCATTTTATTGCAGTCAAATTAAAACAAACGATGAATAGTCAAGCAATGGCAAGTGGTGCTGGGTATCTCAGTCCTTATGGAACAGGGTTTAATGCACAGACGGGGCAATATCCATATGGTAGGTGCATGCTGGGATACATGACTCTCTTCTGCGTGGGCAGAAAGGTCAATTGGGGTCAAGTGGACTTCTAATTATACTTGAAATGAAGATGCATGTTAACTTAAAGCTAATGACCAGTGGTATAACATGGAGAGATTAGATTGTGCTTTATTATAATCATCACTGCCCCCAATAAAGCATGAAGCTACATTATTAACAAGCATGATCTAGTTTTTAAGGTTTCCAAATATTTGAAATCATGCAGCATGAGTTTGACAGATACTGTATCAATTCAGTATTGCATCATGGATTTAGACTGCCTTCACTCCCACTGTACTGACTGTAACCTGTTTATAATTTTGGCAATCATTTACTATACAGTGTTATATTTCAGGTTCGGTGAATGCAGGGTTTCCCAGCAATACAACAGGGAGCACTGGCTTTAACGCCCAACAGGTAACATATTTGTACAATGCAGTGGGAGAGTCATATAAGATTGATAAAAAATTAAGTCTTATTGATATTTTTTCTTGATTCTGTGTCAAGTTACACAGTGATATATGCACAGATAATTATTCATGATGTTTCAGTTGTTAACAAATCCAAATGTACCTTCTATTTGCTATCTAATATTTTTTCTCCATTCAAAGGGTTTAGACTACAGTGCTTATGGGGGTTACACGAGCCAGGGTGGCTATCCATACGCATACCCAGGGTACAGTTCCTACATGTCCACAGCTGATGCTGCAGGCTTGGCCTCCACATCACCCCCCAGTACGCAGACATACAAATTGGTGGATCTACCACCCGCTACTACAGGTGAGAAGCTAGTGGTGCCGGCTTCTATAGTTACAGCTGGACCCTTGACCCACTGGCAGGACAGCAGTGGTGAGGGGTGCTTTTGCACCATCAAATTACTTCTTTGTTCTTATTTTGTTTATTGTCTTTGTTTAATATTATTATTATTATTATTATTATTATTATTATTATTATTATTATTATTACATTTAGGTTTTGTTGAAAATGTTTTGTGCAGATTTGTTAATGTTGTTTCCAACATCCAAAAATAGGAGTTACTATTAATAGGATATATGTATCATTAAAATGAGGGTGAAAGCAACAGGTGCATGGTGTTTTAGGACCTGATAGACACATTGTTATTTTCTAAATGTAAAAAAGGAGTTTTAAAACTAAGAAAAAAAAAAAACAAAATTCAAAGAGCGAGAATCAAGACATGCAATGTAAAATGCTGATGTTATCTTATGTTACTGACAAGGTAAGATGATGAAACTAATAGTAGGATAAAACTAAAGAACTTGCGGTGAAAAATGCATAGAATGCACCAAAATGTATTAAGTTGGTATCTAAGACTGTGGTTGACAAGGAAACCAGTTCTAAATTTTCATATCTTTCGTTCTACTCCTTTTCAGATAGCCAATATAATATTCCCAGTCCGTCGCCACCACTAAAGGCAGAAGCAAATGGTACGTCTAGGGGTAAGTTGGGAATGGTAACATTCCCTGCTTATGTAGATGGTAAAAATAATATCATATTAGAATGAGTCTCAGCTGCCTAAGTGTATTTTTGAATGAGGAGAAGACAAGGCTATGCAGTTATGAGGTGCTTGTTCTTAGCAGTACTCAACCTGCAGGGATTTGATGGAAACAAGATAGTTTTGAAACCAGACTGTAATTGGCTGGGATTATTCAACTATTTTAAAACCACTGAAGTGTGTTTTAATTTCTTGGCAGAAGTAAGATATGAAAAAATATTTTAGCTGCTACTTATAAGCTTTTTGCAAGATGTCTAGTTTGAAATAAAAATAAGTCGTTTAAGTCTGTATAAATTGGCTAAAAAAGGGAACCTTTTAACTGCCTTGATTTTTTTCTAATGAATTCTCCACCTTCCATCTTTGGTGGTCATTGCATTTTTCATCTTGCATTAGCTTGAGCGTGTTCCTTTTAATCTTGGAAGCAAGGCATGTTGATACTCTTTTGTGTCAGGAGGCCACAACCAGCTGTGCAGACCCATCATCCCATAATTTCTTTATTTATACAAACAAGCAGAGAATGACTAGGCAGCTCCAGGATAGCCAAAGTTTTGTTTGCTTTCAATTGAAGAAGTTGTTGGTTTAAGCTCCAGTTTCCATTTTGAATTATAAACCTTTTGAGCTAATGCAGGAGTTTTTATCGAGATGTCTTTATCTGTTCAAATTTTTTTGAAGAAAAATGTTTTCACAGTGGCTGCAAATTGCCTTTCTTTTATGCCACTTTTCAGCGGGGGTATTTTGCCGAGGCATGTTATCTCACATCTATTGCAGCTCTCGTATGTTGAAATTCTGACAGAAATCGTGAGAGAATTACAAAATCAACCTCATTCTTCTTGCTGCAGGGCTAGAGTAAAGTAGATCAAAATGTAACGGGGAAAGCATTTTAGCCTAATTAATTTCAAATTAATTTTTCCACCCCTGCCACAAGTTAACACTGAAAAGTTACACTGAAGATACTTGAATTATCTTGAATTGGATAACATTACCTCTCTTTTCATATTTTAATCAAGGTATTTTGGACCTACTGATTTTGGCATTTTTGAAAAATTAAGAGCACATTATTTGTGTTTTAGTTAAAAAATCCTTACTAGCCATGGGCTGCAATTTTTTTCTTTTGAAATACATTACACAGCAGTTGGCTTTTCAGAAAATAAAATATATCTCACCACTAAAAAAACCCTCAAACCATTTTATGACAGGAATATTATTTATCTGATAGTGTTCTTGTTATATGATCTAATAGAAAAATATGAAGAGAACAATTAATAATATTGATTCTTTAAAAAGATAATTAATTGATTTTTTTTTTTTTCAATTTTAGGTAGGAGTAGACGGCGGAGACAAAATAATCCATCTCCGGGTCCTGAGAATGACTTGGAGAGGGTTTTTGTTTGGGACCTGGATGAAACCATTATTATATTCCATTCTCTTCTCACAGGGTCCTATGCACAGCGGTATGGGAAGGTAAGAAAAAGTCTTGCATGTGTTTTCAGATTTAGTTCACTTATCCACAATTAATGGATTGAAATGTTTCCCATTATTGATAAAATTTTCCTTCATATTCACCTGATTTCCCCTCCCACTAGAAAAAAGAAGTTTAAAACCAGTTTGTAGCAACATGTTATAAGTAAACTAAACAGTCCATATGAAAACTAAACGAATAACTTATCTTCATGCTAAATTGTCCACAATATTTTATAATATCCACAATATATCCTAATGTTAAGCAGACTTATAATAGACAAAGAAGGAAATTCCTTAATGATCTCAGAAGCTATACAAAGGCAACAGAGGATGCCAAATAAATACAAGCTACCACAGAACCAGCAGGCTAAAGTGAATGATAATAAACTGTGATGTTTGTATTTTTGAAGGAGCACTTGGGCTGTCTCTCATTAATGTCTCCTTCAAAACAACCATACATATTTTAGTAGCCACCCAGATTTGAAATAAAAACACTATACTTTAGTGTGCATTAACTTTAAATTTACTTCAAAACATGGTGGCTAAAATGTTTTAGGACAGACCTTTCGGTAGTGACACCTGGTGATCGTTTAATCAGATACAAGAGAAACAAGAAACAGAAAGTATGCAGAGTGGATCGGTGTAACACGAAAAAAGGTTACATCTTATTTTTCTAAAATTTAAGATAGAATGTCAAAGAGGTTGATAATTTAAGAAGTCTGGCACAGAAGCATTTAATATAAAGGCCCAGATTTATTCCATCTTCGTCAGAAGCTGAATGCCTATTCCTGACCTCTTGTAAAGTAGGAAAATGTCATTCCTTTGATAAAGCCTAGTGCAATCTTAAGAGGGATATTAAAAAGTAATCGGACCCAACTCCTGTTAGGAAACCTCAAAATAACATGGATTTGGGACTTTATATACAATGGAAAATTGACAGGTAGGAGAGCCCAGTTCAAAGCACTGAATAAAAAATTGATTTGAAAAACACATAATGGGGACAGTGTGAACCTTATCATGACTGGGGATTTTTAAGCATGGACCTGTTTTTTATAAGGTAATGGAAATGGAGTAGTTATGGGAAATGATCTCATTGTAACACAGGAAATGCTGAACTTTAAAAGAGGTTAAATTATATTTGCCTTTCTTCATTGAGAAAAAGCTGTAATTAAGTAGATGTTCTTAATTTAGTTTTTGTTTGGATCTAAAAGAAAAAAAAAACTGTTTTTTTAGTTTTTAGTATTCAATTATAAATCTTGTTTGAAATTTGAACATTTTAAAGTTTTGGCACACTGAATTGTTACTTTTACAAAACCGATTTAGCTATTTGAAAATGACATAACATTTCCTAAATATATGAAAAGTTGCCTCAGTCTAGCATATCACAAGATCAAAAATGTATATGAGAATGCATATCTTTAAGATGAGCTGGGCATAAGAACCAAATGTGTTTGTTGTCCTCTGCAATGAAAGCGGAGGGTTAGGCCATGACCTGTCTGCTGCTGGACCACCCAGCCTAACGCCTCACAGCAGTAGGTTATCTTTATTAATCCAGCCAAGCTAAAATTGGGCCAATTTTATCTAACTGTGTAGAAAGCGGAAAAAAGCATTGAAAAGATACTTGAAGCATTTGGTTTTTCCCCTAGCCACTGATATTGTTTTGTCACTTTCTCTTGTAAGAGATATAAAGGATGTTATATGGATGTTGCATGTGAATGTATTATCTTAGCAGTCTGTGGAGGGGTGTGTGGGTAGAATTTTGGATAAAAATGCTTATGTGCATACAAAATGGATGACAAGTAAAAATGAATCTCAAACATGTCAGTTGTTAAGATTATAAAACCATTAATACAATAAGTGGTAGCATTTTGTGAATAAAGTTATGAATGAGATTGTAAATTGCTATGAAAGGACATTTTTCTTGATTAAATTTGGTTCTTTTGCATGACTTATTGGAATTTTTACCTAAAACAAGGAAATGATATTGCACAATTTAATTAAAGAAAATTGCAAATAACAAGATTATATTATCAAAATGCTTTCTTAAATATTTTCTGTAGGTCCATGAGTTGCACAGAACAGAATATAAAATAAATTCATTTCACCTTTTAGTTGAGGCAATTTTTTTTCATCTGGATGCTAAATTAAGCTTAAATTTATTACCTTGCTCATTCTAGATGCAATTTCTTTTAGTCAAATAAATAAAAAATATATTAAGTATGAATAACAATTCTTTGTTAAAACTGATAGATTGGGGGAAAATAAAACAATTTCTAGCCAAATTTTCTTCAGTATTAAGTAAAGATTCTTAGTCAAACATTTTCTTTTTGTTTGCTTGCATAAACCTAGAATGATTGGTAACTAAGCAGAAATTTATTATCATGAAAAGAAATGCATCTATAGTGTATAATAATTACCTTAAAAACAAAGAACAGAAGTAGTTTAAGAATTTATGTTTAGGTCAAGTCAGGTATTCAAGTTGTTTGCCAAATCTGAGTTGACGTAGCAGAAAAAGGAGCCACATTTTTGTCTGAAGATTTTGCCAAAAGTACAAGAAAATTTGGGTGGTAAAGGAACAAGTTAATGAACTGAGGACCTGACGCTTAGATAAAATTTCTGCAAGGTTAGGTTTATACATCTGAACTCGCCAAGAATTGCTTCAAGGGGATGTTTGGGTTTTTTTTTAGTACGTACATTTATCAGCCAGCAGTTGTTGATTTTGTAACACCTGCATGGTAACTTGTGCTTTAAAATTTCAAATTATGCCATAAAAAAGGAATGGTCCACAGAAAAACTTTAGTATTTATATGTTGTAAGAGACAGACTCACCACGATTGCCTGTTCAGTTAGTCTAAAATATTTGTTGATCATAATTTTAGATTATGAAAAAAAAGGTGAATTAAAAAGCAAAAAAAAAATGAAAAGGGCAGACAACTTATTTTTGGTGTGTAGGTCACATTTTCAACAGAAGAGCCTCTTGTTCTGTTGCTGAGCTCCAAATACAGGGGAAGTGAATGCTGAAATGATGACACTGGTTTATATTGTTTAAAAAAATCGAATTCTGCAGTGGAGCTTACAAGAGTGTATGCTATTGCCTAGTTACGCATTTCCACTTGATTGGAGAGGGTCAGATAAGGTATATTTGCCATTAACTTTCTGTTGAAGGAAAGTATTTGCTTTTGGCGTGGGACTCTAACTGCCTGAGGGGGGCATGTTTGCTTGCCTGTTGTATATGTTTGTTTTGCCAATAGATGTTAGACAAGCAAGTGCATTTTTATTGATTCTCTTTTTTTTTCCTTAACTTGTGAACAAATGTTTTATTAAGTAGCCATCTGCATTAACTAGCAGATTACCTTATCAAATATTGCTCATGGGTCAGTGATACAGTTTTAGATGCACTCTGAACTTTAAAGTTTGTTGTTTTTTTTTTATTATTTTGAGTTGGAGAATATTTCTAGAAATGTTTTTAGTAAGTTTTGATATTCATTTATTTGATACTCAGTAGATGAAAAAATGTTGGGATTAAAACTAATCAGACGGGTTTCTTTATTTGCTTATTATAAAAAATCTTTTTTAAAAAAGGATAAGTATAATTTTAAGGCCTGAAGGAATTTTTGCTACCAGCTGGTCATATTTTTTATCTGATTAACTATCTCACCAATTTCACTAATACATAGTGCACAGCTACTCATTTCAAAGCAAATATTCATAATTGTGGGTTTCATAAAGAACAAGTTTGTTACACAAGTCATCTTGTTCTACATGTTGCCTAGCTAAACAATTTAGTCTCTGAATGACAGTGACTAGGGATAAATGATACCTTCGCGTGATTCTGCCTCAAGTCCTGAATATGCTCCAAACGTCATTTGAAAAGACTTAATTATCCCCTTTAACTGATGTTAACTGAAGGCAGGGTATAGAGTGTTTCTTCCACCGAATTCAGCATGGCGTGGTTGCACGCAATGGGCCATTCTACTGAGGGATCCATTTCGATGAATTATTTCAGTAATCTGTAGGTATTGTCATGCCGGTTAAAGAGCCATAAAGCCTGAAATGCCAGTCATTTGTTCAGCATCAATACAATGTTGAGATGGAGAAAACAAAGATGTTACTTGTTAATGATATCAAGTCTGTTCATTGCATGACACCAAAAAAGATGGGATGTCTTTGTAGTATTGTAAACACTTTTACATTTTCTGTGTTCTCTTTAAGAGCATGAAGATATTTTCAGCTTTCTTAGAAAATCCCAAGGCAAAGATTTTTGAAAGAGATAAGGGGAAATGTGCATTGAGTTAACAAAAAAAATTGAAAATAGAAAAACACAATGTATTGTTCCTTCAGTTGTATTAAATTTAATAAACATCAAAATAAATTGTACAACTCCTACAAGTTTGAAAGTATGTTCACTATTATAAGGTTAATAAACATTAATAATTATGTTTTAGTTTTAAAATGATTTCCTAAATTACTGAAATAGTTTCTTATTTTTTTAAATATGGTTATTGAAAGAAGCACTTTACAATTAGTTCAGATATATAGTCCCATGTAAATGAAAATCTTGATGCCATAAAAAATATTTTTTGAACCATGAAATTGTATTACCAGTTGAAGGAAATTACAAGATTAACCCTATCAGTATCTTATCACAAGTCCAGAAAGAAAGCAAACTATGAAATGTGCTGTTTCAAAAATGTTGGAGTCTGTTATGGCGGGATGATGTAGATTTTTTAACTTGGTGTTGGTAAAATGTTTTTAGATTCAACAAAGCCAAAGGCAGATAAACATGGCTTTACCCCTTGCAGACGAATATAATTTCCCCTTTTAGTGCAACAAAGAGTTTGTAATTGCCTGAACAGGAGGTTGCTCACATCTCTGCCATCTCCAAACACACAAAGAAATAATTGAAATTGTAATCTCTGCACACAGTAAGATGCCTTGCATTTTTGTCCACACCCTGCATGGCAAAAGCTTCACTGCTGAATACCATGTCTTCTGTTAAAGCAATTTTCTAGAGCCCATTAAGGCTGTTTCAGAAAATGGAGCATAAAGAAAAAAAACTTATTCTGCAGAGTATTTTGCCTTGTAAGATTTCTGATAAACCACAACAGCTGCAAGTGGAGCTGAAAAAATTAACCTTTTCCCCAGTCAAGTGCTTATTTGAATAGACTTTGTGGAAAATGCTGTCTCTTCGTGTGGTCTGGTCTTGTGCCCAAATATATCGCCTCTTATTTGATGAAAAGAATATACAAATCAAAAGTTTATTAAAACATTTAACCAGGAAGTGTTTTATAAAAATACTGATTTTTTTTTTTTTTTTTTTTTACTTTTTCTGAAGATTTATTTTAAATAATGATTGTAAGCTTTTACACAATATGTGTGTGTGTGTGCATGTGTGCTCCTGTGTTTCTTCTGTTGCGGTTATACATCTATACTTAAATAAATAGTTGAGTTATTTACATTTAAGAAATTTTTTGTTCCATTCAAAGTATAAAATGCCAAATATGTTGCATTTACTGCAACAAGGGAAGGTTGCAGATTACTAATTGATGGTTAAACAATTGGGAGTTTTTGACACAAATTATCAGAAGAGAAGTTTATGTGCACTGTATTTCAAGATTCTTGTTTTAAATAAACTTAAACTAAAATCAACACTATTAAAGTACAAGGAATACTTTCTCTAAGAAAATGACCTTATAAATTAATTTTTTTCTCAAATAAGGTCTCTTGATTACATATTTATTTGTTGTCTGTTATGTGTGCACACACACATACACAAATATACACACACACACATATATTCTGGGGTGTTAAACAAACATCTACAGTTCCATTCTCAAATATTTATTTTTTCCTTTTTTCAGGATCCTCCCCAGTCTGTGTCTCTTGGGTTGCGTATGGAGGAAATGATCTTCAACCTAGCAGATACACATTTGTTTTTCAATGATCTGGAGGTGAGTTTGTAAATATGGTTTATAGATGGCATGATAACAACAACATCAAGCTGTTGTTGTATTTTTTGTGAACTGTTGGTGCCAGTCCGATGATAGCTCTTGTTGGAATTTGTTGTTGAATGTAAACAGAAAAATCAATCTGGAAACTGCTGCATTACTCTCCACTTAGGTGGTCACATTAAAAATATTACAATCTTCGATGATGATTGCAATTAAAATGTATGCTGGGATTCCACAGTATGTTACCCAATCACCCTCTGTTTAAAGTTGACTACAATTTATCAGTTGATGCTTGGTCTAAAGTATTGGCCATGTACTGCGTGAACAAAATAAAACGTGGAACAATATACTGGTACTTCTCTCCACAAGGTGAGGTCTCACCCTATCTGGGGTGTTAAACTCACAGGAGGACTTGTTTGCTCATCATGTTCCCACTAAGTAAAAGAGACAGCCTTCCTCCTGTGTGTGTTCAGACTGGAGACAGAGCACTGACAAGATGTGCTGGAGCTAAGACCTTGAATTCCTGATGGAGTTTCCATTATATATGGATTATTATCTTAATTTACAAAGGAGATGTTAGTGTAATACGGATGGATGCACGGCAAGGATGCAAATGACATATGATGTGAAAAGATATATCTATATAGCTATCGAGAGAGTAGTGTTGCCTCTGGCTCTATCAGAAAATAAGGATTTGCATAGAAAATTTCTGACTGATGATGTATAACAATATTTTCTGTTCATGGAAACTAATTATAGCTTGAAGCATACGCTGTAATTAGAAATATGAAACATGTGGCATTCTGTTGATGCAGAGTCCAGTTGCTGAATTTTCTATCAATGAAATAATTTTAAAATAGAATAGAATTTACCAAGAAATCTGCAAATTATCTTTTAAACTATTTTTCTGGTGAGACATGTTAATATTGTGAAACTTAGCAACAGGTGAGACTGAAGAGGGTCTTAATCTAAATTTGTGTTAGACACAGTTGACCTGAAACCCTAGGAAACTTGTCCATCTGAATTTTCTCATTCAGTGGGCGTGAAACAATCTTGTTGTCAAGCATGGCAGCAGCCATGATGTTGTGTCCAAAAACACAGTCATTACAGTGCTTTCAAGACTCACAAATCCAATTCTTCAAATTATTGGTAACCTCCTTTTGAAATACTTAATATGTATATCAACAAATTTTCCTGTTTTTTAGTGGCAGTTTTTCTGTTTTTTTTTCCTTTAATTTTCTGTTGGTGGACAACTTGCATATTCCTTGCTCTTTGTTCTTGTTTTTCCAAGAGTGGTATGCAGCAAATTTGGAAGCCAGCAAACAAACAATAAATTTAAATTAGGCAGTGTACCATTTGCGACTCACATAATCACTTGTAAAACATTCCAAACACAAACACACACTTTTTACAAGCATTGATGTTAGTCATTTGCATTCATCTGTGTCAAGAAAAAATGTTCTTTCCAAAAATGAGTCTGATTATTCTTGTCTTCCATTTTTTTTTTTAAATCTAAGCTTCAAGTTTTTTAGCCATGACAATTTTTAAAAAACTGTCTTTGTTTGGCTCCAAATAAAGGTCAAATGAAATTTGGAGGTAGTTGAAAAGACATAAAAATGCTTGATTTGTTTAGGTTTGCCTGTTACAGCATGAGGGAAAATGCAATTTTGTAGTTTCAGTGCCAATACTCCCCCCCCCCCCCCCCCCCCCCCCCAAAAAAAAAAAAAAAAACTGTCTCACAGTAACTGGCATTGATTATTTATCTCCTCTGCCTTACATCATGGTAAAAATCTTTCCATAATCGCTTGAAATCTATCAACAGCTTGATAAGTTATAAAAAGAATTATTCATTATGATGATTTTCGCCAGTCATTCTTGATGAAACATCATAATGCAGCATTAATTGTCAAATATCTGTGAATAGAACTTGCAAGGACAGGATGAATATGCAAGAGAACAAAACACCAAAGTGTTAATATAATTACCCCCCTTCAGTCTGCCACCTGAGTTCTGATATTAGATTACCAGGTCACAAATTGTCCTGGATATCCAGACAATGGAGGATATATTGTTTCATCTTCTTACATATTTCATGAGGGTATTCTGCAGAAAAGACTAGAAATGCTGTGCATAAGACGCATGCTTTTGTTCAGACGTAAGTTAACTGAAGGCTGTCCTTTAGATAACCCTATGTATTGTAGCCTGTCTTGTCTAAACCAAATGATGTACAAACATGATCCAGAAATGGTTAAGAAGGATTTATTAATTGATAAACCCTATTGCTAGTTAAATGTATAAACTGTTAGGAAAATCCTAGAACTATACTTTTGTGACATAATTCATTTATTTTAAAGCCATCGGTAATCCTCATCACTCTTTTTGATGACAGATTAATGGATAAGGACAGTTCAATCATTTTTGTAATGGTCACTGTAGTGGACAGCTCTCACCTGGCTGGGCTGATTATGATAAACACACAGAGCACTTGCTGACCTGTTGTTTTGTCATCTAACATAACATATACTGACAATACAAAAAAAAACTATTTTCAAGTCTCATTAAGAATGATCTCAGATTGTTTAAAGAGCTCTGTTTGCATGGAAATGGACAAAAGTGCTTTATATTATAATAGTAGAAATTAAAATGAATGTGATATAAAACCTTAAGTTGGTATCTTTCTATCAGCACTTCTAAAGCAACTGACGGGGTGGAAGACAAGAACCATTATTGAAATAACATCTTTTTTTGTTGTTGTTGTCTTTTAATATCAGCCTGTATTATTTAGTATAATTCAAGCCTTTAAAATATTTGTCTTGTCTTATTCAGGAATGTGATCAAGTTCATATAGATGATGTCTCATCAGACGACAATGGTCAAGATTTAAGGTAATTAATTTAACCAGATGTCCATCTTTTTTTTTCTGAATAAAGTCAAAGCACTGAAGGGCTGGAATACAGTACTACATGTAGTAAGCTTTCATGAAAATGATTTAATCAGGCAAATAGAAAGCTGTTTGTGATTGCAAACCTCATTTCATTTAATAGCGGTTAAAGTTTAAAACACCATTACTTTTATAAAGTTCATTCGTTAATTAAACACTTCTTAGACGTGTGTTCTTCAGGATAAATTGACTGTATTCCTTGGTACTCTCTACATGGAAGCCCCTGTCTTAAATATGTGCTGCCCTCTACTGGATTGTATTATCTAAATGCCTCGCATATTATTTCTACAAACAAGAAATAAAACCTCTAAGGTGATATTTCCAATATATGTATTTGTATGTGTTTTTTTTTTCTTTTCAGTACTTACAATTTCCAGACAGATGGTTTCCATGCAGCAGCCACAAATGCAAACCTGTGTTTAGCAACAGGTGTAAGAGGGGGCGTGGACTGGATGAGGAAACTGGCATTCAGATATAGGAGGATAAAGGAAATCTACAACAGCTATAGAAATAATGTTGGAGGTAAGAATCTTGAAAAGAAGGATGTGCTTTCTGCAGGAAATGAAAGATGCCAGTGCAATAATCAACCCATGGGATGAGCTGTAAATGGAATGGGGGGAGAGTCAGATTTATTGCAGATGAATTAAAATGGGATAGGAATCAGTTTGTTTAGTCTATATCTATAGTCTGCATAATTGGGTCTTTGGAAGTTCTTCCTTGTTAAGTGACCTGTAAGATACCAAAACACCTGTCCAAAAATAAAAATAACCTTTTTATAGACATGAAATAAACAAGATTACTTGGAGTAAGTGTCCATAGGAACAACTATCAAATTATGGGCACATATGTTTTGGTTAAGTCTAATGTGTTACCTTATCTACTTAGATATTTTAGCATTAGATTTAAGAAATTGTTTTATGTACATCTCTGTCCAATTTGTCACAAATGTACAAACATACATATTATGATATACATATACTAATAATACAAACAATATTACAAATGTGCAGTTATAAAATGAAGTAGTATTATTAAAAGTTTTAGATGCAATGAAGTAATCTTATTAAAAGTTTCATTGTCTATTTAACAAATGGATGAAAGGAGTGCTTTGTCACGAAAAATAAAGAAAAAAATAAAAGAGGGCAAAAAGGTTACTAAATATCTTGTTATTTGCTTTGGGATGCACTTTGAATTTTTTTTTTTTTTTTTTTATTAAATAAATGTTTCTGTGCATTGTAATAATCACCAAAGTCCTTTAAGTGTTCAAAGCACAGCACTTATTTTTTATGATGCACAATATATAATTCTCATAAGAATTCCCCTTGTCACCACCCTGCTTTCACTAAATAAGATTGTTTATGTCTTACTCTTACTAGATGTGACATTTTCAGGTTTATTGGGACCTCAGAAGAGAGACCAATGGCTACAGTTAAGACAAGAAATTGAAGCTCTGACGGACAGTTGGTTAAACTTAGCTCTTAAGTCCCTCCAAATTATCAACTCTAGGTATGTATTTTTATAAATAGAATGTAATATGACAATATTAATTCCTGGAACAGTTTCTAAGGACCAAATTTAATTGTTTTGAACTTATCATTTTTTCCTTGACATTTTTGCCATTAACTTGAAATAATTGGCAGGGATATTGCAAAAGAATAACTTCATCAGCATCCTTAGTATAGTTGTCCTTTTTAATCTTGAGATTATGATATATCTGTCTTTCATTTCAGATCAAATTGTGTGAATGTGCTAGTCACAACTACGCAACTAGTACCAGCATTAGCTAAAGTTTTACTCTATGGACTGGGAGGAGTTTTCTCAATAGAAAACATTTATAGTGCAACAAAAATAGGTTTGTTGTTAATAATATACATTTGTCTAAAATGGGTAATTTTCATCTTTTCTGATGATTTGATTTTTTATTTATTTATTTATTTTTTATTTTATTATTATTTTTAAGAAAAGTGTGTTTAAATGGTGGATTTTGTATAAAATATTTAAATACAGGAAAAATTCATTTAAATGGGATTTTCCTCTATTTGTTTTCTCTCATTCCTTTCCTGGTCTGCATTATTAAGAAGAGGCTTATTAGTAGGAAGAGTTCAAGTAAACCTCATTGGCAACGACCTTTGTTTCATTCTTGTCAAACTGGTAGATTGATTTGAAAGCGAAAGACGACATTTATATGATTGCATTGGTTGGGTGACATTTAAGTTGGGGAAACCATTTTGTAATAATGACATTTTGTCAGGAAATATGTTGATGTATTTTTTTGTATTTTTGCAGGAAAGGAAAGCTGTTTTGAACGTATAGTATCCCGGTTTGGAAGAAAGTGTACATATGTCGTTGTGGGAGATGGGCGAGATGAAGAAGCAGCAGCCAAACAAGTAAGTTACTGACTCCATGTGCTTGCATGCATTTTCTTGACCTACCTCATTATCCAAGTGATAGAACTCATAAATTTTTTACAGTTTTTCCCTACCTTTCTTAGAGCGCATTCTCAACGAATTAAGCCAGGCTTTACAAAGCTGGTGACCTAAAAATGGCGGACGTACATGAAAGAAAAACCGCCTAATCTTTTAATAGTCTCTCCGCCTCTCACACGCCTCCCCACACGTCGTCCCTGCGGGGTACAGTAATTAAATCTCGGCTCCAAACATTAATATTTCCGTGAATATCTCTGGTGATATTATCTCCGTAGATAGTCGATTCATTGCTGCTCTACGGGCCAAATTATTCCTTTTTCGTCTCTGTTTTCAAAGATAATAGAACAGAAGAGCTTTTTTCCTTCGATCGCCTTCAGCCGCCATGCTTTCTTCACCACGAGTTTAACTGATGAGCATGCGCACTTAATATTTCTCAGGTAGCTTCCGCATGGCGAACGGAGACGCGATTTAAATACTGTACCCCGCAGGGACGACGTGTGGGGAGGCGGAGAGACTATTAAAAGATTAGGCGGTTTTTCTTTCATGTACGTCCGCCATTTTTAGGTCACCGGCTTTGTAAAGCCTGGCTTAATTCGTTGAGAATGCGCTCTTAAACACTCAAGCATTTCATCTTCAAACTTTCCTTATGACTGAAGATCTGTTTTTAAAATGTTCAAATAAGTTTTAAAAAACAAGTGTGTCCACCAGTTTTTAAATTTAACTCATTTAAATACATTCACATTTATAGAAATTGTCAAATCATCATGGCATGTATGCATTCAAATCAGCTGTCATGGTTTCTCTATTTCAGATGAACTGGCCATATTGGCGTGTATCAAATCATTCCGATCTTGCGGCTTTACACCATGCACTAGACCTGGGATATCTTTAACAGACAATGAGGAAAAATGACAGTAGAGAGGGTAAAAGAAAGAAAGAAAGACAAAAGTAGTTCAGCAACATAACACAGCTAGTGCACTTTGAGAGCAGTTTCACAAGATTGCTCAACAGGCACAACGTTGTGACTGTGGACCGTTGTACAAGTGATTTTGTTGCTGCACAATAAATGAGTACTTGCTGGTGTGGTGCTGGAAGTTCTGAGCTGGACAGATTGCTTTTCCTTTTTAATTTGAAGCTCACAACATGAAATTTCAAGGGGAAGCATGCATGAACATGAAGAAGAGAGGAAGTTTGAGTTGTCAGCATGGCAGGGTTTAGAAGAGTTCATTCAGACTGGAGAAGAAATAATTGTTTTGATAAGTGGAGGCCCTTCATTCCAGGCTTGAGCCTCAATGTGTATCACAAAAGATAGTGTTGGACTTATTACCGTATGGCTGCATCTTTCCTAGGTAATTGTTGGAATAGTGAAGGAGACAAATGAAAGTTGACAGACAGTTCGAGTCAGTATTTTATCCCTCACTAGTGCCAGAGTTAACAGTGTCAATGTAATGTTGAAAACATGCACATCTGCTTAAAGAAGTGTTAGCAATTCCAACAGAGGACATGTTACATGACTGCTTGAGATGCTGGAAGAGATAAATAAGTAAACTACTGTTCAGGTCACAGTAGTAAGGCAAGATTTTCTTACTTCCAAGGAGACACTTTTCAAAGGCAAAAAGATACTAGAGTGGGGATTTTTCATGAAAAACATAGTGTTGGTTTACTCTAAAGATTTGCTAGAGTGTGATCATATTGTAGAACATTGAGAAATTCCAAGAATGTTGGATAAAATCCACAAAATTGATGAACTCAGAGAGGCCAAGCTGGTGAATTATTTGACTGTTCATACAGGTAGTACGCAATAACAGAGAACTAGTGCTTAGTATTAGACGGTAGAAGATTCTATATATTTGGAAATTTACTTGGGATATGTAAACACTTATCATGGATTCCCTTGAAATTTACCTTTTATTTGAGAATGATATAACAAATTGTTGCCATAGCAACATTGTATAGATCTTCATTTCTCTCTTTGCTGGAGGAGAGAATGTATATGTGTTCTGTGGGTATGATTTTTTACGAAACACATCAAACGTGCAAATACGGTGCTCTAAACTTTGTTCTCTGTATCCAGCACCATTTTTTTCTGAGGCTTCAGTTGTGCATCCATAAAAACATTTTATCTAGAAAGGTTGATAACTGTGCTTTAATTTAATAATAATTAATTAACAGATGTGAAGTCATTTTGTCATGTTTTTTTACAAGTAATTATTATGATGAGGAGAGTAGCATATTTAGAAAAATGTGCTTTATTATGATTTTTATTTCAGTGTTTATTTGAATAGTATTTTTATTCTATTGTATGTACAGTAGTGGTAGAAGGCATAGGGTCTACAATCCAATCATATTTTGTTCAGAGGCATTTGCATGTTGTAGGTGTTTTCTGAGTCTACAGTCCCAAGTCTACACTATTTATGCCATACACAGTGGGGTGATAGGGACCCATCATTTTTTCATTAAATGTGATGTATAAAAGACATGTAAAATACTTTTTATGATGTTGCACAAATCCAGATTTTGAAATTTCTCTGTGAAACTTAGTTTTATTCGTCTGGAATTATAATCATTTTTGCTTACTTTTTGCAAATATTTGAGTAAGGTCGGTGTGATTTAAGGATTTTCAGACTTGAGTAGTTTAAAACTCTTGTGAGCATCTGATGAGATTTTTTAGAATTAAGCTGCCACTGAAAGTGTAGGATTACCTCATAAATACAAACCTGCACTGTACTTGTAGAAATACATTGTAATAAAAAAATGTTGACTTGGTTAACATGATTTCACTGCGATAAGGAAATCTTGAAATTTAATCTCTTTTAAAACCAAGATTGTAATTTGGCAACTTGCATGTTAAGATGAAGAATAACCAGATTTATCATTATTATTGTTATTATTATTTTACAAGTCCATGTTCCAACCAAAATTTTTTCCATGGAGTAGGTATGCATCAAAGTTTTATAAGCATTGTTCTCTTAATTCTAAAGCCAAGTCAGTAAGAAAACAAAAAGATGGAATAACTATTTTCTAGATAAAATCCCCTCCGATGAATGTATTTCTCATAATATTATATGCTAGCTGTCACAATTATGTATTTATAAGTCTAGCAGTTTGCGTTGGTTGGGAGAATGTCACATTGTGTGTTTGTGTGTGTTTGAAGGGCACCATCATAAAAAAACCTAAGAATGTGTATAAAAAGCCTTGGGCTAGCTTTCTTAAAAATAGGCTTAAAATAAACCATATTGGTCCCCTACTGCATAAACTAGTTAGGGGCCTAGTTTAATGGTAATATTACTGTACTTAAATAGTCTCAAAACCTTATTGATATTATATTTTTTCAGCTGGAACAGAGATCTTAGTTTTCAAAGAAACAATACTGATGTAGTGGTATCGAGTGTTTGTACAGTGTAAAAGCTAATTATTTTTAGTTTGTAGTAACCCTCAATAAAACCACTTAATAAATGAATATTTGTAATTTTTATTATTATGTATTTTATGTTCTCAAAAAATGATGGAACTGAGAGAAAGTACACACTAGTCTTTGACCTGTAAAAGCATTATTTTTGCTAACAGGTGTTTGATATTTTTTACAATTTTCTTTTCAAAAATTATAAAGACAAATCCAATATGGAGACTGCCTCACTTCAAATTCCCAAATGATGCTGCATCTACCTTGTAGTAAAGGTCTTTGAAGGGATTTATTAAAATGAATGTGTATAAAGCAAATTAAATATCAAATAATATATGTATATATCAAGAACAAAATTTACTACTTTACTATACATTGCCCACCATTTGCAACCTTTTATCTCTCACACAACAATCCACCCTTTCATTTAAAATTTACAGAGATTCTGATTGCCCTAGAAAAGTAAGGGCCCCTGATACATTAATGAAGCTAAACTCAACTTGTTATATATGTCTCCACAACAGTATGTATTGAATACAGCCCTAATTTGAAAAAAAAAATACCCATTTGATTTAAGAGAATTACCTGAAAATCCTTAAATTGGGTGAAATCGATGTAAAAACAATTTTTAAGTTGGCACTGGAAGGAGACCCACATGATTCTGGTAAAAATTTTCTATTTCAAAATAGAGTTGCCTTATCACAACCAAATATAAAAATCACAACAACCACACTATGACACTAAAAAATTTCAGGTACATTACTTTGCCAACATGGCTATTTATATTTTTAATTCTTTCAAATCTGTTTTTGCTTCAATGACTATTAATTTTTCCTTCTGAAGTTCACAAAAATATTTGAGCAATTTACTGGCCACTTTACAAGATGCTAATCTTTATCTTGAGGCAAGCTAGTTAACAAGATGTTAAATAAGTTGTGTCCTATAGCAAGATCATGCACAAATGGTGTATATTGTTTATAAAAAATGTGGCACTGCCAGCATACTGGTAATAAACTACAGTATTCAATACTGCATCATTGGAAGGCAAACAGCAATAAAGATGCAGGAATCATATTTGGCTTGTTCTCAGAACTCATTGATGTCAACTGGAAATGAATGATTTTTGGTTGAAGTCAGCAGTTACATAGGGTATGCCAATGGATCATCTTGGTTTAAACAGGACATTAGATATACTAGGTATAATTCATCTCAAAAAGAACTTATTCTGAAGTGTCATAATACAAATCATTATCTTTAAAGTCAACTTTTGTAGAATCAGTCTGAGCCTGACCATGTGGTCTCTTCACTGGTATAGGTAAAGGCTTTTTTGCTTGAGCCACCTCACTGACCTGGTCATCAGACTTCTGACCATTGGGCATAACCTGGTAGGGGTAGTCCTCCTCCCTGGGTACCTCATCATACTGGTTACCTGACATGTCTGTGATATTTCTAACTTCATAAGGGCTGCCATGCTTGGTGTCCACTGGGACTGCGTACTCGTGGGTACTCCCGCTTGTAGTAGAGTCCGTACTAGCATTAGCATATGATGGAATACCAGCTGATGCTGCAGCAGCTTCTAATGCAATAGTTTTTACAGTGTTTGTTGTAATGGGATTTGTGGGATTTCCTATAACTGGTGAGTGTGGTGCCTTATCAGGTACCTCTGGGTTTTCATTTGTAGGGGAGTTTCCAACTTGGATGACAATATCATCATAACCATCCCTTTGCGCTCGGGGTTTTCGTATTTTTCTGACTTGTGCATACAGCAAAGCTTTGATATTTTGCACAGATAATTTTTTGGTGGGTGCTCGAGGGGGGCATTCCCTGTCAACATCCCCCTCTTCTTCTTCTTGTGTGTTTCTGCCATCATTCTTGATCTCTGTTGAGTGCAGAGTTTGTGGATCTCTGTAAGCAGGGCCACCATTGAGAGAGTAATTATCCCAAGATGAGCCATCTCCAGCATCTTCTGCTTCTTTCTCCTTTTTTGTTTTACAGTATTTCCTTAAAATGAAAATAAATATTCAAAATGTGGTTTGTAAATCAATCATGCTGGAATATATCTTTTTGGTGACACTTTTTTTCTTGGAATTTCACAAGACATGTACATTTAAATCATTAAATACATAATTGGTTACTGAAAACAGTATTAATATTTTCTTTCCAATGTGGACTCCTTATCAGTCATTTCAACTTTGCTTAGGGCAAAAAAGACACAAACCTGATAAATATAGCTAGGATTATGAGCAGCACAACTGACAGCAATCCAAGAAGAACAGCAAACACAATGGCTGTGACCAAGTCTGAATCTGAAAGAAACCTCACACATACAGTTACTGCAATATGATAGAAGAGCTTGATGGTAATTATGTTAGATATCGGGGAAATATCAAGTTCTTTCAATGTGAATCAAATTTTACTTCATTCTATCCACAAAATGGTGTTGAAAAAAGCCTCAGATCCTCACTTTAGATGCACAACAAGAATAGCGCATTAAAGAAAATAAATTAAGAAGGGCCAATAATGATAAATCAAAACAATCATACTGACAAAAAAAAACAATATATTCTTATTCTTAAAATTAATCCTATTAATACATTAAGTTACACACAACATAAATTCATGCCATTACTCGCCACCCATCATTTCACAATACAACAATTTGCCAGTTTCTCACCCTGTCCTAGGTCCTCCTGTACCTGACCAGTCCCCCCAGTCGTTACATTGAGAGGTGGGTAGCTGCCAACAGACACACTACTTGTTCCATCATCTCCAGGCCCTCTGTTTGGAAGCTTGTCCAACATATCTGGTGTGTAAGTATTGTATGGCCCTGGATAATTACAAATATTGAAATATTGTACAGATCAAAGGTTTTCCCACTCTCTAATGAATGCTTTGAGACTCTGAATGGGCACATTTAGGGGACAAAATATTTCAGAAATACATGTTTAGAAACTACCAATGTACAATTTTGAAATAAATATTTATAATACCAATGTATTTCCTGTACAAAAAAGTCTAGTTGATCAATGTCCAAAAGACATTGATCGACTTAAGTTTCTGTCCTTTATTCATATTAGTGCAATACAATCATTTCTCCAGCTTGAAAAATATTTTATTTCAATTTAAAAAAATGACCATTAATTCACCTACCATATTGACAAATGAACATGTTGTAGTATGTGGGTTGGATGGTTGCTGGAACCCATGTTAAATCATAACTTCTGGCTATTTCCTGCATATCTGTAAATAGATTACACCATTCAGTGAAAATAAACCTACAGGACTTTCTACCAGCCAAGTACAAAAAAAAAGAAAGAAAACTACACTGTACCTGTATACAATTTTCATCTACAATTCTATATTAAAATAGACAGTTTGTTTTCCTCTAAGTAGTAAACTGTCCACAAAATCAAACCTTCAGTGACTTACAAAAATCCCTACATATGCTGTCTGTAATTGGACAAAAGTATAACTAGTGCTGCAGTGCAGTATCCATATCATTTGATATGGGCCAGACAGAATGCAAATGTATCATTATCTCACCTCCCTGTCTAGTGGTCACCCAGTAGTTAGCACCTGTAAGTAAATCCTCTGCCAACCATGCAAGGAAGGCCCTCAATTCTGGCGTGTCCACACTGGCCAGGGTACCATGACTGTCTACACAGGCCTGAGTGGCCAGCGGGTAGGAAAGCAGCTCTGGACGCAGCTCATAACAGTAGTTGCCATAGGAATGGATGGGGTTCACTGAGGTCGGGCACACTTCTGGGGGGATGGCTGGAAAAAAGAAAGGGCAGATTAAATAATGGTTAAAAATATTTTCAACAAAAGAGTACTAGTAATGATATTCTTCCATCCTCAAAAAGGAGATTATCGAAAGTGTCCTCATATGATATGAGATGAGTATATGCTGAATACCTTAAATAAGATTATTATGTTATCATTACAAATCTTTGAACATTTTTTTTTCTGCTCAGTTATGTGGGAAGTATTTTGGCTGCTTTCTTGCTTTCGTAGTTTAAAAAGTGTGTGGCACATAATTACATGTTTGTGTCTACCTAGGACCCAGTTTGGTGGGTCCTTGTCTCTACATAATAACTGTCTGAAAATTTTTAATGTCTTTGACATTTTGGCATGAATACAAGTGGATTTAAATGTATACTTACAGCACATTGGCTGTATTCCAGACCAGCTGCAGTTTTCTTGGCAAACTCTGGTCTTTGTTCCCGCTAAGGTGAAGCCTCTATCACAAGTATACCTGGCTAATGAACCATACTGCCTGGCAGGACTGGTGAAGCCAAGGACTCCATGTAGGGGAGGCAGCAGGTCAGGGCATTCCACTGAAAGAGTTTGTGAGAAGTTAGATAGGCAGCCACAATTTAAGTATTTATGCAATTATGAAATGAAGTTTGCCTTTGGGGATAGGACTGATTGGTTGATTTTAAAATGGATCTTAGAAAATTCTGTCATTTGTCTAATCAAGGATCATTCAGTATCATGCTGAGTATAATATATGTGACATTATTAAAGACAAAAATTTTTTCTAAAAATTCTTTGCATGTTGAAATGGTGTCAACAGTTTACTGCTTAGCATTACTTTGTCAAACATTATGGTTACATACATAAATCTGCATGTTCTTTCTCATTAAAGCAATAAAATGAGTTACCTATGTTAAGTGTTTGACCATAAAGGAAGTTATGACAAACTTCAAAGAAAGAATGAGTTTTTAAGTCATGAACTTATTCCACCATGTTGTCATAAAATGACTCATATTTTTTTATAACATAAAAACTTTTCTAATCAACCATACATTCAAAAAGCTCCTGCAAATTATCTAACTTTTAAACACTATAAAAACATCTATTTCATTATTTTTCCAATATCTTTCTACACCTATATTCTTATTTTAATTTTATTGTCTAGACCTAAGCTTTTTATTTTCAAATATTATCTTCATTTCTTAGCATTACCAAACACATCTGCTGATATCATTGTTCAAATCACCAAATGTACTTTTTCTGAATTTACTTTCACCATTTAAATTAAAATGTCCAATTAGCCCAATTCAATTTATTGTTAATACCCAAAGGCAAATGAAATATTTTTATTTGCATAATTTTCAAAAGTAAAGTATGTAAAATTTCATTAAAAACCCTCCTTAAAAAAATCTTCAAAAATCCACTGATTAACCCCTGTGGGAGTATATCAGCCTTTATTGCCTCCCCTATCTTATTTCTGTACAGCAGTCAGTACTTCAGAAACTTTACTACTACTCTCTTTAAACTGGCAGACCTTCCGTGTGTAACCCTAAAAAAACCTTTGTGTCACCTGCTGTGCCTGACAGAACCATGTAAATAACACATGCAGCATACCTTTAATATTCCCCTCCAGGAATACCACACTCCACTGTCTCCTAATTTATTAGGTGAGTTCACTCAGGAAAAAAACTAAGCAGGTCAGTTTTGGTTTAATTTGACATCATGAAGCTGCACATTCTCTCAACCAGACACACTGGCACATCATGTCTCTCAGTTCAAAGTTAGATGAGTAGTGTGAAGCCGTTCAGAGACTAGATTAATTACTAGACTGATGACTTGCTGCATAGTTACAATTATTTCCTGATGACATGACACAAACTAACAGTACCACAAAATCCGTGACATCTCTTATTGTGTAAATGCACCAATGGGTTTTCACAGTTGTGGCTCTGTCTGCCCCAAAGCTGTAGGATTGTCAATACTGCCACAGGTGTGACTAATGTACCAGATATAAAATATATGAAAGATGCACATCCTGAATTACACTTTTATTAGTTCCTTCCTTTCTTTGATATGAGAGTAGGCAAACCTTTTATGACTTTATCACTTTACCTAAACATATTTATTGTTATTGATATTTAACTGATTCTTTTTTTTTTCTGCATTCACTTTCCTTTTGATAAGAAGTGTATATTTTTTAAAAAACACACACAAGGCATTCCACCATGACCATGCACTGACAGATGATATGATAATGATGTACTGGTATGCAGCACGGAACAACATCAACTTATGGAATGGGCATGCGTCATGCATTTTGGAATAACATTAACTGTTTTAATGCTTGAATATAAACAAGGAACACAACAGGTTGTGTCATACATTTCCCTTGACTCATGAATAGGTAGGACAGGGGGTCCTGGTAAATAATTAGTATTTCAGAAATCAAGTCATGCGATCTTAATTGGTCTCCCAAGTTTTTCTGTCTTAGCACAGCATGATTAAGTTGTTTGGCCTTACATAAGGTCAGAAACGTAAACTCATTTCAATTGCCAAGCCTTCCTTTATTTATTTATTTATTTACTTTATTTTATTTTCATTTTTATTCTATTTATTTTTTGCATATTCTATTTCCTTCTTTATAATAGGAAGTACTTGTTATTGATCTATATCTCCAAAGACAAATCTTTAAATCTTTTAAGCAATAAACACTCTTCCAATCCATACTTACTGAAACAGGCACTTATAAAGGAAATAAAATATATGTAATATGCAATGCATACTTTCAACAGTATTGGCAAAAAAATATAAAGACTTATGTTTGTCTTTAAAGATGTTTTCATAAAATACTCAAAGAAATTTAAAGACACTAAATAAAAAGATGAATAACAGTGAAAGAGTCTAGATCAAAACAAAACTGGCTCCAAAGACTGACTCAGTACCATAATGAGATGTAACACTCATTCGATGTCACTTCTCTTTAAGTAAAAACCTGCTGAAACAGCATCAATGCACAGTACGGAATCATTAGCCAAATTAATATTGACATGAAAGAGACTATATAAAAACCTGCACTTGTTTTAATGCTCCAATACAATAACACTCTAAGTATTTTCAAAACAAACACATCTGTGATAAACCAAAATACAAGGTCCCAGGATAAGTTCAGAAAATGATCCAAGAGAAATAAAACAAAAAATGAAAATTAAAGGACCTAATGTACCATAGTCACTGGATTATTTCCCCTTCAAGTTAAAAAACATCTTGATATGCCAGAACCTAATTGATGTTAAGCAAAAAAACAGAAACTCTTCCCCTAGCTCACTATAGCTAGCAGGAGTAATCTCCATTTATACCACCCTCCCACAAGGCCACCCACTTAAAACATCCAAAACTTACTTTTTTTTAAAATCTTTTTTAAAATGTTGTTTTCTAATAAATGCCATATTGTCCCTTAGCACATCAACATTTTGTAAAAAAAAAAATATTAAACTTGTTAAATGGTAAAATTCATAGACAAAGTTTAATGTTCACATGATTTAACTTGATTCTTTCACAAGCTTATGAGTTGAAATGAGCATCATATCAGCAAGGAACTAACATGATACCCCACTCCTAAATAAATGTTAATTAATTCCACATATATTAATGAATCACTCACCTGTTCTACACCTGTACAAAACAGTAAGATACCTGGACCTGGCTGTCTGACAGAGAGAGCTTCTTTTTTCCACAACCTGAAAACTGCATGCTTTCTGTAGATTACATTTCTTATAAACTTCTCTAGAGCTGTAAGTGCTGCAGTGACCTGCACTGAAATAGCAGCGTTTGTCCTTCATGTCATAGTAGCTATAGTATGCTGAGACTATGACCAAGATTTGGTTGGGTTCGCTGCAAGAAATGGAGAGTTCCCTCCCTGTGCATGCACGCTTTTCCTGCAGTTCTGACTGAATTGGACATTCTGCTGAATTGATCCCTGTAAAATACAACAAAAAAAATGTATAAAAAAAAACAATACTTTGAGACAGGAAAATTAAGATGATTTACTATCGGCTATATAAATAGTTTGATGTGCAATCTGGCAGGCTGTAATTTTTATTGATTGTTACAGCTGCATTCGCACAGGAATTTGATTAGTGTCATTTGATATCAAGCAAAGGAAAATAATTTAGCTTAAATTTGGTTTTTATTACCACCGCAGTGTATAGTAGTTTGAAACACTGGATGATTAGACTTGGGGAATCGACCTGTAAAATCTGCATGAAAGAGCAAACACTGACTTATTGTTTCAAAAGAGAAGAAAAAACTATTAATACTATTTTTATCTGAATGCATTTTTAAGTTTAAAAAAAGCAAAGAGAAGAAATAAGGTTAATCTGATAGAAAAACTTCACCTTGATCTTTCATAATAGTCAATAATATATAAACACATAATAATCAATAATATATAAACACTAAATTTTATTGTAATAATTTGCATCATTTGTAAAACATTGTAAAAGAATGTATTAATTGGATTCTCACAATGCAGGAATATAATTACAGGAATACTCATTATCATACGAATTGTTGAACTCCAGTGACACAGACCTAGCATCATATGGCAGTACTGGTACATACATGTACACTGTATATTCATTACCAGAATAAGGATGGAATAACGTGTTGTAAATGTCAGTCACACAGTAACAGCCCCTCTTCCTGACAAAACCAGCTAGCCAACTTTACAGCACTTACCCTTCTTAATTTATTACTATTACTGGCAGTCACAGCCAAATCAATGGATCACTACAACACCAGCTTCGTGTATTGCTATTATACTGTTACATGTTCTTTAAAACTTTTGGGAGCATATGTCCTGAGCAGTTCCATGAATACTACCTCAAATAATATCAATAAAACAAAACAAAAAACACCTCAACATACATAATCAAATAAAATGTGTGCTCACCTTTTATAACATAATACAAAACCACAGCAAGAAGGGTATAAGCACTCCATAGACACTCCATCAGGATCTTGTAATATCTCCACTATTAGCCCAGTAGTTCTTTCACCTCACAAATTCTGCATCAATTAACTCCCCTTATCTGGTCCCATCATACCAACCCGAGGAATTAATCATACTTAGCTCACGACTTCATAAGTCTGCTCTTACACTCGCATGTAGCCACAAGCCATGAAAGTGAATTAAATGCGCTATTTTTACCATCAGGAAAGCAAGGTACTTCTTGCCCTGGTTAGCCAGCTGCCGTAGGTGACTGACTGACCTCGCAAGATGATAGCATCTGATGATTCAGCCACAGGAATGGCAGCTACATGGAATCAGTGACGGCTTACATTAATCAACTTACATTAGTTGCAAAAAAACTGATATCAGTTTGCATAATATATATCTTGTCTGTGAGAATTGTTTAACTTTGTTTGTATGAACTTGAGGCTTGGTTAAAGCTGACAGTGTCCCCAATATAATGGCACATATGAGATGGTTGTAACAAGGAACTGCTTTAAACAAATAAATAAACACTTTAGCATATTAAATAACTAGAAAAAAATAGATAATTTGAATAAATCTATTTAAAGTGGATACATGAGATAAAGCAAATTTGGAGAACTTACAATTAAAAGATACACATTCGTGAGATTTTGCTTTTGTAACTGGAGCAGATTAAAAACATTTATCCCAGATTAAAAACATTTTCCCATTTCTGAATTAAAGACATCATACTTCTACAGTTATTCATTTATTTACTTATCCCTTATTTATTATCATTTCTATTTATTTTGTAATATGTTAAAACCCTTTACATTAGACATAATTTCAATTTTCTTCAACACAATGTGGGTGTTTCTTATGCCTGAGAGAAGAATGTGTTTATGTCTAGAATTAAAAATTAGAAATGAAGTAAAAAAAACGAGTTTAAAGGTTTCTTTGCTTGAATTAGCTGAAGGTTACTAATGTAAGGCATTTCCTGCTCCACAGGCTGTAAAAAGTTTAAATTTAAGCCAACAAGTGAACCTTTATTTTCCTTCAGTTTTCATCTCTGTGTTATTTTTTTAATTTTTTTTTTACTAAGATGCATATCAGTGTACATAGTTTGAACAGTTATCTTGTATGAACATCAAATATTCATTTGAACTTAAATAATTGTCTCAGTGAGTAATTTCTTGATAACTATTAAAAATTAAAGTAAAAAAGATACTTGTTAAAAAATTACTGGTGTTAACAAGAGCCATTGCAATTAAACTTAACACTAAAAAAGCCTGACAACATTTTGTCACTTATTACATTCACAAAGAATTCCCTGGATAAATAACTTTATATGGCTGTAAACAGGTTATTTGACAATACACATTAATCAGGTGAATGAAAAAATATATGTATACAAATAAAAAGTTGATAACTGCACAAATAAAAATCCCCATAAGTAAAAAGTGCTAAGTGAATAAGAAATTCAGGCAATCCTTAGATAACAAGCTAAGGTGGATTTAGATGGCGCCGGTTTCCAAAGGGGGAGAAAAGACACAATAGGGCCAATAAAGTAGATGTATGTTTCATAAATTCAGCACCGCAAAAAAAAAAAAAAAAAAAAAAAAAAAAATCTTTTCAAAAGTATTCTTCATAAGAGTGGATGTGCAAAAAATTTTTTAACCCCTTCCCCCCAACTTTTTGATTTCCTGGATCTGTGTAAGTTTCTGTATGAAAATTTTGAACAATAAGAATTTGCTGTATAGACATGAATCTTATAAACTTCCTAATGCAGTGTGTGAATGGCAATATGCCACAGTCCCAGGCATAGGTGTGATCCTTTAATACAACTTACATCTCAGTTTTACCAAGGAACTAGATATCTACATGTACCTCTATGGTCTTACTGAGTTATCTTCAAAATCATCGCTATTGTATATATCATTGATATGAAGCACTACATCAGAATCAGTAGAAAGATTGCTGCCTCTATCCTTACCTTCATCCCCTACATCATTACTGTTTTTAAGTTTTGATTTCAGATCTCTTAGATTGTTTTGCTGGAAATGAGCTGCATGGTTTTCGTAATAGTCCTTGTCAATTTCTTCTCCTTTTACAAGTTCGAGATAAGATACCTTAGGTTTGCCCCTTGTATTTTCAGACACATCTAAAGTGCCATTTTCATCTTGTTTCAAGGGAAAGGTTGTTTCAGAATCTTTGTTTCCACCATTTTTTTCAACAGTAGAATATGGAGGAATCATGCGTACAGGAGCTGCCGTGCTGTAGTTATCCATGTCATGGGTAACATTTTGATTGTCTTGAGTTGGTGTAGAGCTGTTGATGTTTTTTCTTTGGTTCAGATTCTTTGTTTTATTTAACTTTCTAAAAAATAAAATACAGAAAAAATCTACAAATGACAGAAAAGTTGGGGGAATAGTGAATGATAATGCACCATTTCAGAATAAAGACAGTGGCATTTATTTTCTATATTAGATACAGCGGAAGAATAACTGAAAATAATACCAGTACTTGAAACAAGAAATCAATAAATGTAATAATACTAATAACAAAGAGTCCTTAATAGATACTGGCATTTTCATGGACCAATCCACCCTACCTCACTAATGCACAGATGATCATGAGCATAACCAACACCACCCCACCACATGTACCAATTATGATCCACAGGAGGTATTTGTCCAGACAATCTGAAACAAATGAGGTTATCAAACTGCATGTTCACTGTCAGTACAGTAAGTATATTCTTTTAATCCGTACCCTCCAGTGTGAATAGATCCTCAATTTTGGAAATAGGATATCTTTAATTCTTAAAAATTATATTGAGTTGGATAATCATTGATAGCAAGTCAAACCACAAACATGATTATCCAGGAACACCATCTACCATCAAATGCAATTCCAGGTCCCTGCACCCCTCCCCTAACAGATCTTGTATGATAATACATGTGTATGGCTGTGGCCATCCTCTCTTTACCCACCTGACACTTGCACCTGACTATGTGCTGTTACTGTACTGCCAGTGCTAGGGCTACTAGTAGTATAGAGAGGGCGTGTTGTCTGTTCATCAACATAAAATGGCCCTAAATATTTATAATAATAATAAGAAGAAGAATTATAATAATAATGTTTTTAATTGTATCATAGAATGACCTTAAAATAAATAAATAAATAATAATAATAATTGTGTTTATTGTAACATAGAGTTTACTAATTTACATACCTATACAGTTTAGCCTATTAAGAAAAAATATATTTGTCTTTAATTGGTAAATTCAGATTAATCTAATACCTATGGTAATCAAGTCCTGGAAATTGAGGACTTCCAGTCAAATTCACAATTGTTTCTTCTGATCATTCAATATCATAATAGCAAGGATAACTGATTTTTTGTCATATTTCAAATAAAACCTCTGTCACATTCATCATACATGTAACAAGAGGGTGTGGGACCAAATTTTTTCTGCACTTCCAGTTTTCTCTAAACTTTTTGTTGGTGCAACTGAGGCATTCTGCAGTTGTGTCATGATGGAAATTGCTTCTGTTGGTCTGAGAAAGAAGAACAGCTACAGCTGGTATGTTGCACAGTATTGCATTGTTTTAATACAAGGTTGGGGTAGACACAGTGCAGGATCAGTCTATAAATACTCACCATACTGGCAAATGAAGGGAAGTATCCATATATTTCTTAGAACACTACTATTTGTCCACTGTCCATTATAACTCTTAAGAAGTATTACTGGAGGGAAAAAATTGAAATTTAAGCTTAAAACAAACAATGTCTGTTATCTGGAGAAAACAGTGCTGCTGGAGATTTTAATCAATTTGATTTTAACCCCATGCATTGAAGGTTTTACTAAACTAACAATATGACAATCCTATTAAAATCTCTATGCAGTAAGACTCCGGTGAAGTTGATTCCTGGTTCCTTATTCCTTATTCGGTTACTTATTCAAATGTGAAGTTGGTTACTTATTCCCGGTTCCTTATTCGGTTACTTATTCAACTTTTTTATGTTTTTTTATGATTTTGATGCTAGAATACCTGTTTCATCATACTAGCACCCCCTCTTCATCTAGATGACACCCTAAAATTGTTAAATATACCAATAAAAACACAAAATATAACCCATTCCTTATTCAAAAGTCCTGTTACTTATTCGGTTACTTATTCCTTATTCGGTTACTTATTCAACTTTTTTATGTTGTTTTATGATTTTGATGCTAGAATACCTGTTTCATCATACTAGCACCCCCTCTTCATCTAGATGACACCCTAAAATTGTTAAATGTACCA